ATTCCAGATCCTAAAGAAAATGATTTCCAACTTAGACTGATGTACCCTGAAAAATTTTAATTCAAAGTTGATGGTGAAATATGATACTTCCATGAAAAAGAACAGCTGAAGAAATTCATGAACACCAAGCTAACCCTACAAAAAATATTGAGAGACAGTTTAGATACACAAAGGAAAAAATCACTAAGCAAACAGATAATTAAACAGAACAGAAATATAAAGATGCAACAGCAGAGAGATAACATGTCAACAACCAGCTTTTAACAGTTATAACCATTAATGTAAATGGTCTCAATGCACCAATCAAAAGAAACAGACTAGCAGAATAGATCAAGAAACAAAATCCAACCATATGCTGTTTACGGTAACTCATCTGACCCAGAAGGATACTCAGAGACTGAAAGTCAAAGGATGGAAAACAATACTTCACGCAACAGGAATCCAAAAAAAAGCAGGAGTAGCCATTCTGTTTGCAGACAATGTGAACTTTAAACCAACAACGACCATAAAGGACAAAGAAGGTCAGTACATATTCGTTAGGGGAAAACTCCAAGAGGAAGAGATAACTATCTTAAATATATATGCACCAAACTCCAGAGCACTCAGTTATATAAAACAACTATTAACAGAAATGAAAACTCAAAGTATCAGTAACACAGTTGTAACAGGAGACCTTAATATGCCATTGACACCAAGGGACAGATCAACCAGACAGAAAATGAGCAAAGAAATAACATAACTGAATCACACCTGTGAACAAATGGATTTGATAGACATATAAAGAATGTTCCACCCAACGACATCAGAATACACATTCTTCTCAGCAGTACATGGATCATTCTCTAAAATAGACCATATATTAGCTCACAGAACATATTTGAACAAATGCAAAAGAGTTGAAATCATCCCTGGCATGTTATCAGATCATAGCGCTCTGAAATTGGAGATTAATGATAAAAGATACTGCAGAAATCCCACAAACATATGGAAAGTGAATAACACACTCTTGAGTAATCAGTGGGTCACAGAAGAAATTAAAGGAGAAATTAAACAATACCTACAAGAAAAGGAAAATGCAGATACAACTTACCGGAATCTGTGGGATGCAATGAAAGTCGTCCTCAGAAGAAAATTTATTGCACAGAGTTCCCACATCAGGAAAACAGAACGAATACAGATAAATAACCTGATGCTATACCTCAAACAGCTAGAAAAAGAAGGGCAAGTCAAGCCTAAAGCCAAAAGAAGAGAAGAAATTATAAAAATCAGAGCAGAAATCAATGCAATAGAGACTATGAAAACAATCCAAAGAATCAATGAATCAAAGAGTTGGCTCTTTGAAAAAATAAATAAAATTGATAAGCCCCTAGCCAACCTTATTAAAGAAGGGGAAGAAAAAGCTCAAATTCTTGCAAAGAACTGAAAAAGATGAAATCACTGCAGACTCTACAGAAATACAAAAGATCATCAACACCTATTTTGAAAACCTCTACTCTCAAAGGTTTGATAACATAGAGAAATAGAAAGATTCTTAGAAACATATGAAGTACCAAAGCTAGATCAAGAGGATGTAAAACTGCTGAATAACCCAATCTCTATCAATGAAATTGAAAATGTAATTAAGTCCTTACCTACAAAGAAGAGCCTAGGCCCAGATGGATTCACTGCAGAATTCTACAAGAAATACAAAGAAGACCTAATGCCTACACTCCTCAAACTATTCAATGAAATTGAAAGGGAAGCAATCCTTCCTAAGTCATTCCTGTAAGCAAGTATTACTCTAGTACCAAAACCTGAGAAAGACCCAACTAAAAAAGAGAACTATAGACAGATTTCCTTAATGAACACAGACGCAAAAATCCTCAATAAAATTTTGGCAAATAGGATGCAGCAAATCATCAAGAAGATTATACACCATGACCAAGTGGGATTCATCCCAGGAATGCAGGGATGGCTCAACATGCATAAATCAATAAATGTAACCCACCATATCAATAAAGCCAAAAGTAAGAATCACATGATCATTTCTATAGATGCAGAAAAAGCCTTTGATAAGGTCCAACATTCATTCATGATAAGAACTTTACAGAAAATTGGAATAGATGGTCTTTACCTCAATATAATAAAGGCCATTTATGACAAACCAACAGCCAGAATCATACTAAATGGCCAAAACTTGAAAGCCTTTACTTTAAAATCAGGCACAAGACAAGGATGGCCTTTATCACCATTTATATTTAATATAGTACTGGAAGTACTAGCCAGAGCACTTAGGCAAGAGAGAGAGAGAGAGAGAGAGAGAGAGAGAGAGATAAAAGGGGTAAAGATAGGAAAAGAAGAAGTTAAATTGTCATTATTTGCAGATGACATGATACTCTACATATAAGACCCCTAAACTCCATTTAAAGACTCTTAGATATAATAAATAAATTCGGTAATGTAGCTGGATACAAAATCAATACCCAGAAATCAATAGCATTCCTATACAGTAACAACAAAATCACAGAGAGGGAAATAAGAGAAACCACACTCTTCACACTAGCAAGCAAAAAAATGAAATTTTTAGGAATTACTCTTATGAAAGAAGTGAAAGACCTATACAGGGAAAATTATAATACACTGAAAAAAGAAATTGAAGATTATCATCCCAATCCCTAACTTGAAGTTATACTACAAGCAACAGTAGTGAAATCAACATGGTACTGGAATCAAAACAGAGCCCAAGATCAATGGAATAATTAGAAGATACAACCACAACTACAAACACACTCAACCACCTTATCTTTGATAAAGGAGTCAAGAAGGTTCACTGGAAGAACGACAGTCTCTTTAATAAATGGTGCTGGAAAAACTGGCTCTCCATTTGTCGAAAACTAAAGCTAGACCCATGCCTATCACTGTGTACTAAATTAAAATCTAAATGGATCAAAGATCTGAATATTAAAACAGAAACACTAAATCTATTGGGAGAAAAATTGGGTAGAAACCTTGAAAACATAGGGGTAGGTAGAGAATTCATGAATAGGACTAAAACCACAGGGAAATACTTCCCAGAATCAATCACTGGGACCACTTCTTATTAAAAAGTTTCTGCATGTCAAAAAAAATCTCCAGCATAGTGAAAAGTAAACCCACAAACTGGGAAAAGATCTTAGTGAACTCCCCCTCAGACAAGGGACTTTTGTCTAAAACATATAAAGAAGTAAAAAAACTCAGACCCACAAAATTCAAAGATCCAATCCAAAAATGGGCATCTGAGATGATGCACACTTCCTAGATGAAGAAATACAAATGGCAAATAAATACATGCAAAAATGTTCATCATCATTGGTCATTAGAGAAATGCAAATTAAAACCACACTGAGATTCCATCTCACTCCTGAAAGAATGGCCAGGATCAAGAAAACCAACAACAACAAATGCTGGAGAGGCTGTGGGGAAAAAGGAAAAAGAGATGTGGGAGTGTAGACTGGTACAACCTTTGTGGAGGTCAGTCTGGAGATTTTTCAAGCTGGGATTGGAAGTCCCATTTGTTCCAGCTATTCCACTTCTAGGCATATTCCCAGAAGAACTGAAAGCACCATACCACATGATATATGCACACGTATGTTTATAGCAGCACAATTTGTAATCGCCAGATCTTGGAAACCACCCAAGTGTCCATCAACTGAGGAATGGATAAAAAAGTTGTGGTATTTCTATACAATGGAGTATTACTCAGCTATAAAGAAGGATCACATTGAGATATTTATCAATAATTGGGCGCAGCTTGAGACCATACTCACAAGTAAAATAAATCAATCTCGCATGTGTGAATACCGAATAGTTTCCCTAATGTAAGTAATGATTCAAATATATAAAAATATGTGGTAATCATGATTCCCCATTATGTGACCTTGAAGCCTTATAAAGTTTTCACTTATTAATTGGAATGGCTTTATTCTGGGCTGCTTGTTATGGAAATATTTGAAGCTATAGTATATGAAGTTATATTCAAATATTTAAAGGAAAAAGACACACTATGGTAACTACTATTAAGTCGGGTTATTTGGTGGTGAAGCACTAGGTTGCTGAAACAGTCGTGCTTTGACCTGTATTGTTATGTTGTTATGTCCTCCTTTATCTCAATCTATCCCTTATTCATTAAAAAATATTTAGTTATTTTTTATGATTTTTTTAATTAAGAGGAAAAATCAAAACAATTAGCAGGATATATTATAGTAACTTTTTTGATTTCCTATTAACTTGATTTGAAGTCCTATAATACTCCCACTATCTTGTTTTGACTGATTAGACTCTGTTCCATTCTGTATGATAGTATCAAGTTTGGGGTTATAGTCAACTACTTTGAAGGCAATGAGATTCACTAAGATGCCCATTCTGGTTTGACTGTTATCTCCTTTGGAAGTCCTGTAATGTTTACAATGTTTAAGTTTTATTGGTCTTGTTCTCTACTGTTTTGTTCAACTTTATAATACCTAATGAGATAGACAATTCTTCTTAAGGAAGCAGGAGGCATTATGGTAACCACTGTTGATAACCTTGTACTCTGTTTTTACATCATGTGCTATGTCTATCCTTGGTTTTGACTGACAGCTTTGTTTTGCCATATTTAACTTTATTCTCTTCCAAAAAAAAGTCATAAGAACTAAGGAGTAATAAAATCCAAAATGTGTAAATTTTGTTGTAAAAAAGAGAGGGAAAAAAAGTGCTCTAAAAGATACAACAGCAAGTGTGTTTAGGGGTGTTAAATAGATGACCATATTAATGGTTTTGGTTGGATCATTGAACACAGCTGTTTGCAGTCTCACTGTTTGAATGTCCACTTTGTATGCTTTGATACTGTGACTTGAGCAACTATTTCTAAGATGATAATGTGTGATCTATTAACTGGTGGTTTCTTACTGTTTTTTTTTTTGTCTGTATTACTTGTACCCTTACACCACTTTGTCTTGTTTTGTTTTTTCTCTTTTTCCTTTTAAATAAAATTTAAAAAAAAGAAAAATATGGAACATTTCACAAATTTGCATATCATCCTTGCGCAAGGGTCATGACAATCTTCTCTGTATTGTTCCAATTTTAGTATATGTGCTGCCAAAGTGAGACAATAGGTAGAAATCTTGTCACAATTATAAGCAGAGATCATGAACAAAACCCAAACTACACAGCAAAACAAAGCATCCTTTTATTGGTCAAAGGATGCAACTCGTGGCCACACTCACAAGTGAAATAACTCAGACTCACATGTGTAAGCATGATATTGTCTCCCTAATGTGAGTAATTGAGTGAATAATTAAAATTCAATATGTAAGGGTCAGGGATTTAGCTCAGCGGCACAGTCACCTGCCTGGCAAGCATGAGGTCATGAGTTTGATCCCCAGTACAGAAAAAAAAAAAAAAAAAAAAAAAGAATGATTTAATATGTACAATAGATACTGTTAATTGGGAAGAGCTGTTCAAAAGAAAAGAGAACCTGTGATATGGGAAAGGAATTAAGGGAAAAGGAAAAATTAAATATATATACAACATAGTTAAGACAGTTATACAGTTAGTTTGTCTTAGTTTTTTGAAAGAAAAAGTTTGAGCTAATGCTGATTGGACAGTGTTACATGCCATAAGTATCTGCAATGTATTAATTAGTATAACTCTCTTACTAGCCTGTATAGAAACTCTTTTATTTTTTTTGTCTTTACAATACAAAGATGCCTTTATTCCATGTTTTCCTGATAAATGTGGCTGACAAATGTCCTTTGGTTTGATTATACATTTTTCTGTAGTTGTAATATTCCAACAATAAGAGAAACAATATTATGCAATTGATTTGCTTATATTGTAAAACTGTAATTGTGTTCAACAATTTTCTTTAGTACACTAGAACATTAGTTTATGTTTTATCTGTGTGTGCGTGCACGCACACTCATGAATGTATAGTTTTCAATATGAACTTTTCCACCAGTTGCTTAATTTAAGTTAATACACAACCATGATTTATTCAAAGTATATAGTCTATGTAGAAGTGACTGGTCAAATAATGTAGCTATCAACTGAATTCTTTATTATCTAAGGCAAAGCACCTCTAACAACATTTGAAGGGCTTCAATTTTAAACATGCTGCTCATCATTGTTTCCACTGCCATGTCCTTTTTTTTAAGTTGTTAAAACATTTTGAGATGAATTTGCAAGCAAAAACAGTATTTTAAAAGTCTGCACTGTGTAACCAAGGTTATAGGCATGAATTTTTAGGAGAGAAATATTTGATTTATGAGTGTAGTACCTCATAAAATTTTTCATAAATGGCCTCAGGGAATTATTTATGTATAATTTCACCAAATAACATATTTTTCTTTTTTGTAAACATTTCTAACAATATAAGATATAGGACAAGCTCTATTAACAAAAGTTTGTTAAGGAAAATAATAAAATAACACACAAACAAATATTTAAAATTACATATGAGTTAAACATATTGTGTGCATTGTGTGTAAGTAATGAAATTTTTTAGAGTCATCTTAATTTACAAAAGGTCTTTCTGGCCAACTGTGATGGTGCATGCCTCTCATCACAGCATTCAGGAGGGTGAGGCAGGAGAATTGCTATGAGGTTGATGCCAACCTGTGTTACAAAGTGAGTTCAGGGCCAGCCTGTACTGCATAGAGAAACCTTGTCTCAAAAAGATTCCACTGCAAAGAAAACCTCTTTCTCTTCCAAATAATAATAATTTAGGCTTCCTTTAATTGATCACTGACATATAAATGTAATTGGTATATTCACTCTCCAAGTGCCTCAAGGTCATCTGCCACCACCACACCCTCTTTCAAATAGCCAGTCTCTGCATTAAACACACTATTTGAACTAAAGTTCAAATAGCCAGGGATATAGTTCAGTGGCACAAGTGCCTGCCTGGCAAGTATCAGATTGTGAGTTTGATTCCCAGTACCAAAACTAAAAAATAAAATAAAATCCAAATCAGGCTTTGAATTTTTTGCCTCTTTCAATTCAATATCAATATCAATATCAATATCAATATTCAATATCAATGGTAAAAACACCATTTAAGTCAAAATAAAGAATAACCTCCCAAATCAAACTTTTGCTTTCTATTAACCCATACCTTTTAAGGACAACCACAGATTAAATTTTAGCAATTCTTTTCAAGTTAATGGAACCATTTATTGCATACTGATTTATTCTGATTTTTTTTTTTTGTTCACTGTATCTCTGAGACTGGATGCAGAGTGCAATCGCTGAAGCATATTGTTTATTTTTCACTGCTGTACAGGAAGTTTCTCAGCCTCAATACCAATTATATTTTGAACTGTACAATTTTTCATTATTCAGGACCATCCTATTCATGGTAAGATGTTTTAGAGCATCCCTATTCTTTATTGATTAGACATGCCTGTCACTCATTTTTCTTCTTGCCTTTTTCATCTCTGTAGAAATCTATATTCTACTCTCATTTGTGCTCTATGAAAGAAAAGGTGATTTTTATTCTATTTTGAAGATTTTGTCTTTATTCTTCTATTAGCAATTTCATATAAGGCACTTGCCTTGATTTTTCTTTGAATTTCTTCTCAATGAATTCATCAATTCTTGAATTATAGGTTTTTTTTATCTTTGCCCATGTTGGAAAATTATATGCAATATTATTTCAAATACTGCTCAGTCATATTTTTCTCTTAACTGTTGATTGCATTCTCTACATTTTAAAAAGATTTTCAGGTTTTCACATCCTATTTCTATTTGGATTACAGGTATTCTGGCTTTTTTTCAGAAATTTTCCCTTTTGCCACGTTTAACACATTCATAATGCTAGCTTCTTAATTCATACGTTTGGTTTTTATAGTGTTCCAATTCCAAAATTTTAAATTAACCTAAATTTCCTAGATTTATAGTAAGTCTCCATCCTTTTGTTTGATTTTTGAACTTAATAATCACTGGTTTTAAGTGACTTATAAATAAGCAGAAAATCCAGGTCATATATAAATATTCATTTTTATTGTTTGTTTATTAATCTTGATTTTCATCTATTTAAAAAATATTTCATTTTTATTAAAGACATTGTATGTGAAAATGATTCTTTAACTGCTACTTTTGTTCAAAATAAGACTAATTTTCTTACTTCACAACTAGCATGCATACTTTCATGAATCATACTGATCCAATCAACCAAAGACACAGACTTTTCAAAAATTGGACTTTTTTTTTTGGTCAGTTCTTACTGGAGGACATAGACCAAGCCTTAGAAAATATGTTTTCTGTGATCTTCCAAATAATCTGAGAATTCTGGGGAATTATCTAGCTTGTTAATATTTGTACATTTTATATAAAACTAGGATTTTATATAAAACTAGGATCATTAAAATATTTGATCACTTGTACAGATTCCAACCTATACATTGCTACTTGCTTCTCAGTGTCTCTTCCTTAATACCATAGAGTTTAGGAAGTGATACTTCATGGAATCTCGCTCAGTTTTCTGAAGTTATTGTTTTTCTCTTTACATTCAATTCTTGGGAAGTCTGAAGACAAATTCTGTCTTCATCTTTAGAAATGGTAAAATGCAGAGTAAGTTACTTCAGTTATGACAGACTGTTTCCCTGGACTTCAGAATCTGGTTCCTGTTTCATAACACATCCAGGGGTTTGCTTTTTGTACTAATTCAGCTTTTATATTTGTTTAGAGAATTAGTTTAATTCAAGTTATTTCGTTATTATTTACAATGAGAGCTACTGAATTATGAGCTTTTTCCCTCTTGAATAAATGTGATCACCTTGAATTCTGATAAATATTTGGTAATTACCTCTATCTATAGATAATTTTGACTGTACTGAATTTCTAACATTTTTCTCTGCGATTATGGGGATGACTTTATCACACCCTAATGTTAGACAAATAAAAATAATGCCAGATCAAATTTAACTTAAAAAGTGTAGTGTAGTGTAGTAGCACATAGCTAAAACCTTCCTGAAACTGAGTCAGGAGGAGGGATAGCTCAAAGGCCAACCCGTAAAACTCTTTGAAACCCTGTCTCAAAAAAGAGTTGTTTTCATCTATCAGTGTTTAAATAATTGTGATCTTTTTAGTATAATGGACCAAAATATCTTCACTCTTGCAGCAGTTCTGAGTTTCATGATTACTAATTCCATATTTGCTATTACAATTTTCAACATCTATGTAAGGTCATTTTATTTTAAAATACCCAAATATGCTTATGCATAACACATGATATTTGGGCATTTTTAGGATTCTTTATTGACACTGTATTATGCATATGTTAAAAATCTGGGCATAAGTAATCCTGAAAGTAAATAGGACACTAAATTGCTCTGAACAAGGTGATTTAAAATTTACTATCCAAAAAGCACTTGAGATACCAATAACTCAGCCGGCTCAAGATATAATCACACAGTGGAACTTTATATCCCATATGTTAGGTTCACTGAACAACAAAGGTGCATTAGTGTCCACTGTGCAGAGCAATCCAATGTTAATTTTTGACTCTCAATCAATAGAATCTGCTGAGTCCGTCATAGTAAATATGAGATTTTCAAAGAATTGCCCAGAGAAATCAGCCCATGAGAGATTTTTTTTCTCCAATGCTGACTTTGTTATCAAACAAATGTTCGTTTTAAAATGAGAGAAGATGTAGTGTTGAGGGTATAAAAACGTAGATTAGTCTACTTACAATTGCACTGGATTTCATTCCTATTCATTACTGTGAAATAGGAATGGAAGTTTATGAGGGTCTGTAAGACAGATCAGCACTTTAAATCGCATCTGTTCAGTTATACTGCAAGCTGATGTCTTATTAAAAGCAAACAGCAGCATACTTTAGAGCCAAAAATTATTATAAGACCGTCACACCACAAAAAATATGAAACAAATAAAATAAGATACAGCAAATACAACTACTTATTAAGCATGAAAATGATCCTCTTCTGGGATTATTTGGGTGCAATGTAAGAAGCATTTCATTCCTCAGTTGTCACTCCTGCAGTAAACACTAAATTATAGTCATGTTTCCGAGAAATACATAGAGATCGCATCTTAGAGGAGGAACTAAGGGAAGTATTACAGACTAGTATTTTTTGAGAATGAAAAGA